AAAAAAAAAAAAAGGAGAAAGGGCGAGAAAGAAGAAAGGTGGAGGAAGAGAAGGGAGGCTGGCGAGGAAGAAGGTGCCGGCAGCCATAGCCGACCTAGAGGTTGACTGGGCGTTGACCAGAGGGTTGACCGGAGCGTTGACCAGGGTGTGACCACATTGACCAAGCGTTGACCAAGGCATTGACCGAGGCGTTGACCGGAGCCGTTGACCACGATTTTGACCAAGCTGGAGTTGGTATAATCTTGCCAAGCCCTAAGCCTATCCCCTCGCCCTTTGGATGTGCACTCACGCTATGGTACTTGCTGAGTCTGAGTCCATCTGTCTCTTCTTTCTGCATCGAGTCTCTTCTGTCCAGGTGATAGGACTCCCTGTATGAAGGATAGGGCCTCGTTGACCAAACCCACACGGGCTGAGTAGGGCTAAAAACTGTGTCTGACGACTAGACTGTCCCGGAGGACACAAACCCTCCCAAAAACCGATACTGACCGGCGGGCTGCTCGGTGTGGCACGGCAGGCCCAAAATCCGAGCTGTGGGCTGCACAACGGGCCGTCTAAGTCTTGAGAGGATCTGCTGACCGCGTTGTCCTGTTTGCGACGATAAAGAATTCCTAAGGAGTTACAGGGGATCTCCTTAAATGCCTCCTGGTCAGCAACAGATCCAGTAGTGACGGCTGTAGTATTAGAGTCTAGGCTAGAGACCATAGTTGACAAGGCTCTATACGGATCCTGTGGTCCATAGACTGAGTCAGTCTTAAGTAAGTCGGTCGGGGGGACGTCTAAGTGGCGAGGAGCGGAACCGTCACTTGGTTGTGCGTCTGTCACCATGGTAGACACGCGTACAGGAACGAGCACCTCCCCTTATACAGCAGAGCGGGATGCAAAGCCCGCCGCCATCCTGAAAGAGAGAAGAGAGCAGAAGGAGGCCAAGAAGAAGGCCTTGATAGAAGAACAGGCGGCAAAGTTGAAGAAGATTGAGGAGGAGATAGCCAAAGAAAAAGTGAGGTTAAAGAAAGAAGAAGAAGAGAAGCTCAAGGCAGTAGAAGAGGAGGAAGAGGTAGAAGAACCGCCACTGGAAAGGCGAAGGACAGGAGGACGAGGAGAATCCAGTGGAACAAAGGAAGATCAGATGGAGGAGAAGATTACGGAGTGGGTTGTTGGTTTATCCCTGGGAGAAGAAGAGGAGGCTGACGAGGGAGAAGAAAAGGAGAATGGAGGCGGCGAGCCAGGCCGCGAAAGAGTTGGAGGTAAAGAAGCAAAGAGCGCAGATGGCGACGCAGGTGGACCTACTGGGGAAGATGGGGATCATGGCGAGAAACAAAGAGCGTCTGGCCCAGGTCCAGGAAGAACAATATCTATTTGGTAGAGGTCAGGACATTGACTTGCACACTATACGGCTAGGACTCAGAAACTTCGCAAGGGAATTAGCGACGCACGTGGGCTCAAAGGTGAAGGCCTGCCTAGAGGGCACAAAGCATTATTGCACGAGCGCCATAGAAGGCGCCAAACTGACTGCTCCCAAGGAGGAGGAAGCACGTCCCCAAAGGAAGCCTGTGAAGGTCAAGTTCCCTGACTCCTATAGCAGGAAGAAAGAGGAGAATTTTGACAATTGGGAAGCCAATGTCAAAACATACGTACATCTGCAGACGGTCTCCCCGGTCGAGCATGTCCTTATAGTCGTCCATGCCCTCCGAGTCGAAGCAGCAAACTTTGCTCGTTCCTTGTGTCGCGCCACCAACTGTAATGATGATTTAGTCGCTTATTCTGCGTTCACTCCCCTCACTGACTTCCTTAAGTTATTGCCCGGACGATTCGCAGATGTCTCACACAGTGTCAAAGCCTCCGATAGATTGCAAACCATCCACTCTCGTCAGTCGAAGAGTGCTAGAGCACTCAAGGGTGTGACGGACGAGCTAGTCGTCCTCCCGGACCATGGGGTCACTGAGACCCAACTGGTCAACCTCTTTTATCGTGCAATGCCCGAACAGCTGCGCGGGCATTTCTTTGAGAAGCATCGGCAGCCTACCATGACCTACGACGCTTTGAGCAGGGAAGTGGTAGCCTTTGAAGCGTGGTCCATGTCAATCTCCACTTTTTGGCATAAGGACCTAGACAAGGGCGGTCGCACCATCTCAGGACAGCTCAAGACCAAGGATCGTTTGATCCTTACTTTAGATGAGGGTGGTGTAGAAGAAGTCCCCTACGAGCAGATTGAGTGGGGCTTGAGGAAGAGGACAGTGACGTTAGTCGGGGGAGGACCTACACTGTTGTCGCAGCTGGAGGGAGGCCGCAAGGAGGAGGTAAAGGCCAGGGCCAAGGGGGCCGGGCCTCAGGGGGGCGTTCCCAGAGCGATCAGGGGGTTGGCGGTAGAGGAGGAAAACTGCCAAGTGGGAGGAAGGGGTCAAGGTCCCCCGCAACACCGTTCGGGGAATGGATCGCCTAATAGAGGGAAAAGGTCATCGAATAGGGGAAAAAGGGCACCCTCTTGGAGAGGCGATTGGCACCCAAGGCTGCCACAAGGCCGGCCTTGGGAAGACTTGGGCCTGGACCAGCACTTATGGCAACAACGTGTGGATCAGGGGCAGTGCATATATTGCGGTGACCCTGGCCACATCATTAAATACTGTCCAAAGTATAGAGAGGCCCGTTCGGCTGCCCAAGGGTCAAAACGCAACCGCCGGTAGGGGTAGCAACTGCCCCTACCACAAGGCCATGTGGGGAAGAGAGAGCGAGCCGGCAAGAAACTCCCACACCACATGTGTCGATGGCAGAGGTTGCAGGTCGGTGCCTAGATAGCTGTCCAAAGACTACTTGTGTCAGAGTCTCTCTAAGCGCATCCCTCACAGGCGTGGCCGATGAGTTAAAGGAGAGAATGCCCACCTGGGCCAAGATGAAGAAGGAGAGTAGGGGACAACTAGTTTTAGTAAACGTAGAGATTTTCAGAGGTAGAGTAGGGGCCCTAGTAGATAGTGGGCCCACGCGGCTATATTAGTAGAAAGGCGCTGCAGAAGTTGAAGTTGGGGCTAAGAGTCCATAAGTTAACAGACCCCATAGTGAGTATCATCGCAGACAATCGCACAATGTGAGTAGAGGATTGCGTTGAGGGAGTCCAGGCGTACTTTCGCCTAGAGAAAGATGGGAAAGTGGAGAAAGTTCTCCATTCCTTGACTCTCCTCGTAGAGGACAGCCTTCCCTTCGATATAGTCTTAGGAATGGACTGGGGAGAGGCAGTCGGGACCACACTCCATTTGAGAGAGCACGAGTGTAGGCTCCCTAGTCCGTCCGACGGAGTCAAGACTGCCCGTCTGTTTCATGTGTCAGGAGTAGACAACTCCCTGGCACATTGCTGCCTTAGCGCTCCTGCGTTCGCGAGGTTAGTGAAGAAGGAGCAGTTAGAAGAACAGGTTTTTGTAACCTATGTTAGGCTAGTTACTGAGCCCAAAGAAGAAAAGCCCATAGATCCCACCATTGCCAAGTTGTTGGAAGAATACACAGATCTAGCTAAGCCGCCTACAGGGGTAGTCCCGCAGCCCATCCAGCATCGCATTGAGATCGAACCTGGCAGCAGGACTCCTAAAGGAGCAGATGTCCCCGCGGGAATTGGAGGAGCTGCGCAAGCAGTTAGATGAACTCCTAGAGAAGGGTTGGATTAGGCCCAGTTCATCTCCATTTGGACCACCTGTTCTATTTGTCTCAAAGAAGGAGGGAGAGCTTAGAATGTGCATTGACTATAGGGGTCTCAATGCTATCACCGTGAAGAACGCGGAGCCATTGCCCCGTATAGATGATCTTTGCCCCGTATAGATGATCTTTCAGACCGGGTGCAGGGCTGCAAGTATTTTTCAAAGATAGACTTGAAGTCCAGATACCATCAGATAGAGGTCCATCCTGATGATCAGTATAAGACCGCGTTCCGAACTAAATATGGGCACTACGAGTTTATAGTTATGCCCTTTGGACTAACCAACGCGCCAACAACTACTTAGATGACATTCTAGTGTTCAATAGGACCCTCCAGGAGCATGAGGGTCATCTAAGGCAGGTCTTGGAAAAGCTCAGAGAGGCTAACTTCAAGATCAACACAAAAAAAGTGTGAATGGGCAAAGACCCAAGTTCTGTATTTAGGCCATGTTTTAGACGGAGACGGTATCAAACCAGAAGATAGTAAGATCGTAGTGATTAGAGATTCGGCTACACCCCTCACGTTGACAGAGTTGCGGTCGTTCTTACACCTAGCTAACTATTATAGGAAGTTTATGAGAAACTTCTCCACCATCACTGCACCCCTTCGCAGATTGTTGAAGAAAGAAACAATCTGGAGATGGGACAAGGACTGCACGTCTGCTATGAAGAAGTTGAAGCAGGCGTTGATAGAGTACCCGGTCCTTAAGGTAGCCGATCCATCCTCACCTTTCGTTGTCACCACTGATGCGAGCCAGTATGGTATAGGTGTTGTATTACAGCAAGACGATGGCAACGGATATAGACCCGTAGAGTTCATGTCTGCTAGGATGCCTTTAGAGAAGGTAGTGACATCTACCTACGAGAGGGAACTCTACAGTCTCAGGCAAGCATTAGAACACTGGAAGCACTACTTGCTTGGGATGCACTTCAATGTCTACTCTGACCACGAGACATTAAGGTGGCTGAAGACGCAGGCCAAGATGACACCTAAGCTTACTAGGTGGGCCGCAGAGTTAGACCAATATGACTTTGAGCTTAAGCCAGTCAAAGGGAAGTACAATGTAGTTGCGGACGCTCTAAGTAGTTAGACCAATATGACTTTGAGCTTAAGCCAGTCAAAGGGAAGTATAATGTAGTTGCGGACGCTCTAAGTAGGAGAGCTGACTACTTTGGACCAATAGTTCATTATTTGGATATAGGGAGAGACCAGCAGCAGAAAGTTAGAGAGGCATATGCGCAGGACCCTATCTATGGTGACCTCCTCAAGAGAGTAAAGGAGGCCCCAGAGTCTGAACCAGACTACCGCACTACTGATGGGCTGCTATTTGAGATGACTAACGTAGTTGACCGATTGTGCATTCCTAACAGTGAAGAGATCCGTAGTTTGATCCTAGGGGAATGCCACGATACTAAGGGACATTTTGGTTGGCAAAAGACTCTAGCTAACCTCATGTGCGTGTACATATGGCTTGGGATGAAGGCCGACTGCATAGAGTATGTTCGCAGTTGCAAGGTCTGCTAGAGAAATATGACCTCTACGAGTGCCCCTCTAGGTCTTCTCAAGCCCTTGCCTATTCCTGATCAGCCAAGGGATTCAGGGTCCATTGACTTTATGGACACCCATGTCAAGAGTGGGCACGGCAAGAGCCAAGTCATGGTAATAGTTGTAAGTATGTCGTTTTTGTTCCTTTGCCCTCATAGGCACGCACATAATTAGTTATTCAGAAGTTCTTTGATCATTGGGTCAGTGAACAGGGGATTCCACTATCTATAGTTAGTGATAGAGACACCCGGTTCACTAGTCATAACTGGCAGGAGTTAATGAGAGTCTATGGCTCCAAATTGCTGATGTCATCTGGCCGTCATCCAGAGACTAACGGTCGGACTAAACAAATGAATAAGGTCCTGCGGCAAGTTCTGAGGATGTACATTAGACCTGATCAAGTTAATTGGGATGAGATGCTCCCAAAGGACCAAAGGTAGTCAGTGCTTATAACGACAACGTGCATTTAGCCACATCTCGCACTCCCAACGAGCTACATAAGTCTTTCAAACCACACAGGCCGTTCGAAGGACTTAACCGGGATCCGATTCAAAGGCTACCGCCCGGTACTAGGGAGTTTGCATTACAGCACGAGAAAGAGTTAGCTACCGTTGTAGAGAACCTCAGGAAGGCCCAGCATAGAATGATAGAGCAAGCCAACGAGCACCGTCGCCCATCGCAGTTTCAAGTAGGCGACTTAGTTTGGGTCAAGTCTAAAGAATTTGACCCTGAGGAGAACATCTCACAAAAGCTATTGCCAGCATACAGAGGATAGTGGCCAGTCCTAGAACTCAAGGGCAGAGAGGATGGACCGCCCTACACAGTAGAAATTCCAGCACACCTCCATACTTACCCCGTGTTTCATGTGTCAAAGTTGTTACCATGTATCACAAGCCAACAGTTTCCATCTAGAAGACCCATGATCCCTTCGGACATGGATGGAAGATACGACATTGACGGCATTGTAGGTGAAGACGTATTCAGAACAGGAGGTAGAGGTCATCCACAGAAGCAGTATAAGGTTCGATTTGCGTACCAGGAACCCGAGGACGATCACTGGTTTACTAGGACTGAACTGCTAGAATCAGCTCCTGACGTAGTGAGAGCCTACGAGCGAGAAAAGAAGGGTAAAGGTCCTGCCTTGGACTGAGTTATTCTCGGAGGACCTCGAATTTAGGCCGGCGGGAGTGAAACGGTTTTCACCTTTGCAGAGGCAGATGCAGATCCCAAGGTTCGATCCACAGACCTTACCTTACCCATGTACAGTGTCGAGTTGACCCCTGAGTGTTGAACCCATGACCTGTGTGTCGTTAGTTGTTGTTCATCTGTCATATGGACTGTGTAGATGTAGGGATTCGATCTGTAGGTCTGTCGAGTAGGGGTCACAGCTCTGTAGAGGTCGTAGCTGTAGGTATTCTGGAAGGTCAAGGTCGTAGCTGCTGAAGTCCAGAAAGGTCAAGGTCGTAGCTGCTACAGTCCTGAAAGGTCAAGGTCGTAGCTGCTACAGTACCCGAAAGGCCAAGTCCACAAACTTCCGAAAGTTCCGGAAGTGGCCTTTCGATGCGGTCTCACCTTTTAGTCAGAGGCAAGTGGGCAAGTGGTGAGCCCAACTGCGTTCCGTCGGCAGTGCGACTGCATCGAGTTGGCAGTGCAAACTCATGCAGTCAGCGGTACTGGTCCAATCAGTCCCAGTCCAGTCCAGCAAGTACCATGAGGGACTGTGTGCACCATGGGGCTGATGGAAAGAGGCAGACCAACGAGTTACAGAAGTATAAATCAAGAGGCAGCGCCCAGCCATTCATTCGTTCCTGGGTAAGCCATGCAGAAGCGCTGCCACAGCGACTTGTGCGAGGTGGTCTGCAGTAGGCCCGAAGACRAAGTGGGCGAGAAGGAAGCTTAGCCATAGCGATAGGGTAGGCAGCGGCCATAGCCGCCATAGCTGATAGGAGAGAGAGAGGGGCGTGTGCGAGTGTGCGAGTGTACAGTGGGTTGCGTGTGGGATATCCAGGGTGATCCAGAGTTGAAGTGTGAGCGAACAGTGGTGTTGGACACAGTGACGAGAGTTGGGATGTATAGGTGGAGGTGCACCATAGCCTGTTGAAGCGAGTTTGCATCCGAACTGTGTTCTTGGTTTCCATATCTCTGAGCTTCGAGCTGGGCGCTATGGGCCAGTGTGAATCACCATCTGTTTGTATGCATGCGAAGTGAAGAAGAAAGTGAGTTTGATTGCACCATGTACAAAGATGGATATTATCATTTTTCAGTTCCCTTGCTTGCTTGATCAAGCCCCCCAATCAGGAAAGTTCTTTATGAGCAATACGCACACTAGGTAGGACTTCTGTCTATCTGGCCACAATTAGGTTGTCATTTAGATGGGTGGAATTGGTGCTGGGACCACCCAGTCTCCTTCAGAAATCGTAGGGCCTTACCATTTCTTAATTCCTGCTCGCAATACTTGCACACTGGTAATTATTAATCTTTTCTCAGATGTTCCAAGGGCTTCATCCCTTATTTTCGACCAGCGAATAAAAGACAAGCGTGACTACACTCTTCCCTTGAACATCATGCATGGATGGGATTATATCTGTATCTGGCCCGGAAATTGGCCTAAATTGGCCTAAACGTGGCGCTAATCACTATCCGCCAAGACAATGAACGTAGCCGCATGCAGATATGTCAAGGGTTGTATCACATCTGGGGGCAGGAGACGCCATGCTTCAAGCGTGCTGCCCTTCCCTACCTGGAGCAAGGTGGTGAGCCCTGTGCAGAAATGAGAATGCAGACTTCTCCTTACCCTGGTCTCAGGTGGTAAGAGTGAGGGTTGTCAAGGATGACAAATGGGGTTGCTACCTCTATGAGTCAAACATCCCCATCTACCTCCTCCCGTTCAACCCTAACAAGTGGCACTGGCAATCAGCAGATTCCATGATTCTGGAACTTCCGGTAGCATACTGTCAAAGGAGACCACAGAGCTACCCGTAAACCCACATCATCAACAGACATCACCACCAAAAGATGGCTGCCGGACTCCCCTCTGACACGCAAAGATTTCATAGGCTTCTCCTGGTCAACCTACAGCAGACTAAAACCTACAAACCACTGAGCGTTGCAACTGGAGATCCTACACAGAACTGGATGGTCTCACATTCTGATCTATAATTTCTAGGTCCTCGACCAAAGCCCAGCCGCACCGGTTACAGATATAATTTGGGGCAGGGGAAAAGTAGGGTACTCAGTACTACAGTAAGTTGGACATGGTCTGGGTGAGAATGCAAGCGGGGCCCCTATCTGGGACTGGGTATAGCAGGAATTCCCATCTGGAGTACAAACGTAATTTAGCCTTGCTCTGAGTGTGGCTGGATCAGATGCTCGTTGACATGAGCCTAAGTTGACGGAGCTACCCTCCAAGGCTCTCGAGGTTGCAACTGCGCCTTTTCAAGGGAAAAGTCATAAAACCTCCCTGCGACGAAACCTTTGTCTCCATTTCCCCCCGAACGGGGAAAAGAGGTGCTGCAGGCACCAAAATCACTTTTGGAGTTTTGCACCCTGCAAAACACTTTCCCGCCATTTTTACACAGCCGCCGTTACCGGCCCAGCCAGGGTGCAAAAATGACACCAAAAGTGATTTTGGAACCTGTGGCACCTTTTTCCCCGTTTGGGGGGAAATGGATACAAAGGTCTCGTCGCGGGGAGGTTTTATGACTTTTCCCCCTTTTCAATGTGGCCTGCCACTTTCGGTACCAGCCCAGGCCTGAATTGAAATGCTCTTACCGCGTATGTCGGTAAGAGCACTACTTAGGTTTGTGTGAATTGGTGGTTTAAACTGATCAGAAGAGATATTACACTTGATCTTAGCCAGAAGGCCGAGAAAGGCAAATTACACACACTGCAAGTTACTCGGGTAGTGTATTTCCAACCACAGAGCTATTATGTCACATGTGCCCAGCTTCTCTTCGCCATTGCTGTTCAGGCCATAGATCACAAGGAAGGGCCCTCTTATTGTCTTGTATTTATAAATAAATCCAATAATGAACATCTTCCCAAACCGCACATGCAATTTTCATTGCAAGCGGCTTTCCTCATGTATAGTTTTATTTTATTTATTCTCATGAAATATAATAATGAATTCTTGAATTGTTTTTTGATTCTTTGTTCTTTTTATTATGCTCATTATACCCAAAAAAAACTAATTATATATACTATTTATATAAATTCTATTTCTTATTCTGATTGAGATTTCCATTACGCCGCACCACTCACCAGATGTGAAAAGGA